AACCATCCAGGGTTATAACTAAATGAGAGTTATGACAATACATCACAATTTACAACAATCTCCGCATCGTCTGTCATCAAGTTAATAGCTATTTCTTTCGTCTAATGTTGATTAAATCCAAGCGATGTCAAAACTTTTCACGAGCAACTATCTTTGTCAACATATTCGCAGGATTATCAACAGTTCTAATTTTCAATAAACGAATGTCAATTTCATTAACAATTTCTCAAACAAAATGAAATCAGATATCAATATGCTTAGTACAAACATGATGGACTTGGTTCATCGACAAACAAATAGCACTCTAGCTATCAAAAAACACTCCTATGTGTTCTTGAGAAATACCCGAGTGATTAATCAAACCATAGATCCAAATAGCTCCTTTAAAAGCTACGGTGACTATCATATACTCTGTTTTGGTGGTAAACAATGCAATAATAGACTGCAATATTGAAGCAAACAAACAAGTCCACCAGTAATAGTGAGCAAATAACCAGCAGTGGATTGACGCTTATCAATCTCCACTCGTCTCTTGGTGGAAGCAATTCACATGCCATCAACATACAAGATCAAATAGATGAACAAGTTATCAACAAGGAACCAAAAATGTACACAGTAGTAAAAAATATACATATACCATTGACGAAGAGAGCCGATACAAAGATTTCTTCAATCTAGATTCCAAATGTTGTTGTCCAATTACTCGAAAACCAACCGCTATGCCATATATATTTCTTCTTCCAAATCTCCATATAAGTAAACATTTTTTCATATCAAACCATGCAAGTTCAAAATTAAATTGTGCAACCAAGTTCAACAAAATTCCAATCACAATGCTTGAAAATATAATTTTCAAGAACAAATATCACCAACAATCTATGCAAGTATTTTTTTCAATCTGCATACAAACGTTGTTGTCCAACTACTCGAAAATTAAGTGGGTGTATTATATATATTTCTAGTAAAGGTGTTTAATTGTTAATTTTCATTATATTTTTGAAAAACTATCTTCTATTTTTCCCTTTACACAATACTATGACTTTTCTTTCATTTATTGTGATATTAAAAGATATATTAATTAATATAACAATATTTTCAACCCTTAATCATGCTCATTATAGAGTTATTAATTTTACCCAATAATTATTAGAGTCAATTTGATTACAACTCATGAGGCTATAAATAAAATTATTTTATTCTCTCGAATTTAATTTGAACTTTAGCATATATTTTTAATTTTAGTGATTCCCCCACGCGTCATGGTTATGATTTTTTTTAGTACATGCTCTATTATATTAAGTTAGGTTATAAGTTGCGCTATGGTATGACTATGTTATTATGTGGATTTATGTTATTATAAGTCATGTGTAGGGAGGTACTACACATCCATCGCTACTCAAATTGAAAAACGGAGTCCAAGGTCATGTCATGATGCTTTTATGAACGGAAGGTCCTACCACGATTGCATGTGATTACATTTCTCAACCTCAACAATGAGGTTACTCAAGCCACATGTTGCTTTTATTTTTCAGGTAAAGGTAAGACACCCTTGTACAGATGACAGTGTTGCTATAAAAGTCATGAAACCGAACTAGGGTAGTTGCATTTATATTTAAATTGTAGCCCTTAGGTTAGCTCATAGCGTTTTTGTTACTTTGAACATATGGTTATTTCATTTCTACTATTTCGTTGATATTTTTTTTATTGAAATGAATTTACGGACGTTTGAGTCTATAGCATTAGTTACAAAATGTTTAGATGAAATTTTTCGTGCAAAATAAACATGTCATGCACACTAAACTACTCCAATTTAATAAAAAAAAATAATGTATTTCTACATTTCTTTCTAATCATATACGGTAAGTTTTTATATTATTATACGCTTTCTATCGATGTTTCATAAATTAAACCAAATTTTAACAACTAGGTAGTTCTTAAAAAAAACAAAAAAAGAAAAAAATTTGCAAATTTTTATTTTTTATTAGATTTCATATTATATTGTTAACAATATTCATGCGATACGTCATATGATTATTCAAAATTTTCTTTTTTATTTTTTAAAATTAAGCTTAAACATTTGTTGCAGCAACATATGCTCGAGCTTCTGGCCCGGTTTAAGAAAAAAGTTTTAGAAAATAGGTCAGAGAGATTTCGAAACAGAGTTTTGAAAGCAAGATTTGAGAGATTGAAATTGGTGTTATATGTGATGGAAGCAAAAGGCAACAATAACGGCTTACAACATATAACTATCGGGTAGGAAGAAATTGATAACTAGTCATATCTCCTATAGTACATTTTGGGGCATTTTAGCCCTTACAAATGTAGACACGATTTTGGTGAACGGTCATACACCCCGTACTGACCCAATATTGAGTACATCTATAAATTTGTTTTTAACATTATACGCTTTCTATCATTAAGCTTAAACACTTGTTGCGAGTACAATAATTAATTTATAATCATGTTATACATTGTGTACCGTTATTATTTTACCATTTCAACTGTTAACAAAAATGAAATGAAATGAAAGGAGTTTTTAACCTAAAATCTTATGTTTATCATTTTTTTCACCTTTATTTAAGTTAATCTCATAGTTGTAAGAATATTACAATTTAAACATCGTTGGAGTGTTCAAACATTTGACTTTTAACAAAACTTATTAATGACGTTTAGTTATACTCATTTTCAAGCCTGCCTACGTACAAACGTATGGTATATTCATATTGATTGGTTAAACCATTAATTACGACTCGTCTTTTGGATAATTACCAAAACACCCACCTCTTAAACCCTATAAAAACCCTTCCATGACCATACTTTATTCTCCATCCCTTCTCATTAGCTAAAGAAATGTGTTCTTCAAAGAAACCAAGCTCCCTTCTTGCTCTCTTATTGGCTCTCAACCTTCTCTTCTTTTCTCTTGTTAGTGCTCAGCCAGTGGTACCAGCGCCAAGCCCCACCCCAACTCCCTGCCCTAGAGGCCCCCTCTCCATAGCTTCATGTGCAGGTGTGCTTGGAGTTGCTAATATAACTGTTGGCAATCCCATAGCTCCATGTTGCATCTTGGTTCGAGGGCTCGCCGATGCTCAGGCTTCTTCTTGTCTTTGCACTGCCATCAGCCTCGCTAACTTTGTCTCTATAAGAGTTAACCTCTCCGTCGTGCTTAACCGATGCAACCGAACCGCTCCTGCTGGAACCCAGTGTCCTATCTAATATACACTACACAGCTTCAACAATCCAACAAATAAACAACTTGTTATAGTTAATAATGTCTTTTTAGTTCAATAAATTTGAAGAGTACGTGGAGGTGCGGAGTGATCGACCTTTGACCTTGAAGTCCGAGGTTTAGATAATCATCTTAACCACTAAACTATACTCTTCTTCATGTTCGTTTATCTTGTGTGTGGTACGTGTTTACCTACTGTTATCAATAAAAACATGTCATGTTTGTGAGGTTAAGTGTAATGACCCTAGATTTCTACTTACATAGAGTCGCTACCGTCGTCATAACGTAATCATTTTGTGTGAAAATAAGGGTTTAAACTTTATCATAAAACATAAACTTCATCTTAAAACACTGTCATAGACTTACGTGTTCGAAAACATCCTTAAAACAACACAACGAAATACTAAATGAAATAAATAAACGTTAAAATTAAAAACATCATATTCTAACCGAAGTCTAAGAAAATAAGTACAACTACTCTATGTATGTGCCATGGTTTTGAATTGTGATATCGTCGTCAACCGTACAATGATGTCTTGCCTTTACCTGAAATAGGAATAGCACGTGGCTTGAGTATTTTAAGAAATACTCAGTAAGTGACCCCACTATTAGGGTTAGATGCAAACACACACAATCATGAGTGAGACGATGCAAACACACACAATCATGAGTGAGACCTGTCATATCAGTCTATATTACTTGCTATCCTAAATGGGCTAATTGGATGTATATTTACTGTTCTACACATGGTCCACATGTGCGAGTATGAACCCACCAGTCGATTTGTACACCTTCTGGGCCCCTTTATTGTCGAGTGAGCATTCTCTGGTAGTTGTTGATGTCGGACACTCATTTAGGAATAGCAACCGTTACAGCATTATAATAAATAGAACAATCGTTTCCCTAGCTCGCAGTGTACATGCCCGTACCATCGTAAATGAAAAAGGAGAATCTCCCGATGCATGAACACACAATGATGCATGAGGCCCCAATATTTTTTTCTTTTTCATTATCATGTATGACAACCTCTCTAGCGTTTTCCTTCATATCATATAATATCATTAACATAACTTTTCATGTAATTTCAGGGTTGTGTATCATGTTGAAACATTTTATTGCATGTCATTCATATCATACATCTTATCATGTCATATGTATCATATCATATGCATATCATGTCATACCGTACACATATCATATCATAAAGCATACAAGTAGACTGAGAGGGGACGAGAGACTACACAGGTAACTGATTGAGAATATACTCTTGTGTGTAGGACAAACCGCCCAGAGAGTGGACGAAGGATTACATAGATAGTATATAGAGGAGATACTGTTGCATGTGTTGGGAACCACTGTGAGAGGAGATGAGGAACTACATAAATAGTTCAGCTCATGACATAAATAGTTTAGCTCATGAAAGATGCCACCAAGGTGTGTGGTATTAGGCCGAAGATACCTCAACTAGGTTTAAACTTCTTAGAGCCTATGACAAGCCCGTAAAAATTTATTAAGATAAGATGCTATAAGAGCCTACAAGTTAGACTATTTACAGATTATTTTATACTCACCTATTTTTCCTTTTACTATTTTTATCTTTATTCCTTTTCTATTTTATCTTTATTGATTAATGGCCACACCAATATCATTTAAAGATAGATGGTAAAGCTTAAAATTTTTAAATTTGTAACAATTAAATACTAAAAATAATTATCAAAATTAAATGTCATTTTTAATTATTGTTAAAATTTTGTGATTTATAAACATATTGAAAACTTGGACCAAATTTCTCCGAACTCTCGGCGGCCGCTGCCGTTGATCCTTTGATATTTGTGTTGGGGAATGGGATAAGGCACTGGAATCACCCATCTGCGATATTTCTTCCTCCAAAAACTAAGCTCCCTCCCATGGCGGCTCCTCTTTCTTCCTCTCTCGATATCAAACTCAAACTCAAACCAACGCCGCCCTTGTTCTTCACTTCCCCTCTCCGGCGAAACAATTTCACCAAGCGATTTACAGTTCTCTGTACCTCCTCCTCCAAATCCCCTCGATCCACCGACAAAAAGAACCCATCTCTATCGGAGCAGCTCAAAGACCTCTCCACATCGACTCTTTCCAATGCATCCAACGACGAATCCCATCTCTTATCGAACCCTAAATCCATTTGGGTGAATCCCACCAAGCCCAAGCGCTCGGTTCTGTCACTCCAGAGACAAAAACGTTCTTCTTACTCTTATAACCCCAAGATGCGAGAGCTTAAAACCTTCGCCCATAAGCTCAATGCATCCGATTCCTCTGAAGCTGCTTTCATGGCGGTTCTTAAGGAAATCCCTCATCCACCCACTAAAGAAAATGCCCTTCTCATTCTCAATAGCTTGAAGCCATGGCAGAAAACCCATTTGTTCTTCAATTGGATTAAGACCCAGAATCTGTTTCCTATGGAGACTATCTTCTACAATGTGGCTATGAAGTCTTTGAGGTATGGTAGGCAGTTTCAGCTCATTGAAGAACTAGCAAATGAGATGATTAACACTGGGATTGAGCTTGATAACATTACTTATTCTACTATTATCACTTGTGCTAAGAAGTGCAGTAGGTTTGATAAGGCAATGGAATGGTTTGAGAGAATGTATAGAACTGGTTTGATGCCCGATGAGGTTACTTACTCTGCTATTTTAGATGTTTATGCAAATTTGGGGAAGGTTGAGGAGGCTCTTAGTTTGTATGAGAGAGGGAGGGCTAGTGGTTGGAAGCCTGATCCTTATACGTTTTCTGTGTTGGGGAAGATGTTTGGAGAGGCAGGGGATTATGATGGGATTATGTATGTTTTGCAAGAAATGAAGTCTATTGAGGTGCAGCCTAATCTTGTGGTGTATAACACCTTGTTGGATGCAATGGGGAAGGCTGGGAGGCCTGGTTTTGCAAGAAGCTTGTTCGAGGAAATGATTGAATCGGGGATAACGCCGAATGAGAAGACGTTAACTGCTCTGGTTAAGATTTATGGGAAGGCAAGGTGGGCTCGGGATGCTTTGGAGCTGTGGGAGCGGATGAGGTCGAAAGGGTGGCCGATGGACTTCATTTTGTATAATACATTGTTGAATATGTGTGCAGATCTTGGTTTGGAGGAGGAAGCTGAGAAGCTATTTGAAGAGATGAAGAAATCGGAGCATTCTAGACCGGATAGTTGGAGCTATACGGCGATGTTGAATATACATGGTAGCGGAGGTAATGTAAAAAGATCGATGGAGTTGTTTGAAGAAATGCTCGAGTTGGGTGTTGGGATTAATGTGATGTGTTGCACTTGTTTGATTCAATGCTTGGGGAAGGCTAGGAGGATCGATGATCTAGTTCGAGTTTTCGACGTTTCTGTACGAAAAGGAGTTGAGCCAGATGACAGGCTTTGTGGTTGCTTGTTGTCTGTTGTGTCCTTGTGTGACAACAATGAAGATATTAGCAAGGTATTCACTTGTCTACAACAAGCTAACCCAAAGTTAGTTGCCTTTGTAAATCTACTGCAACAAAATGACATTACCTTCGACGTTATCAAAGACGAATTCAGAACCATTCTCGGCGAGACCGCCACCGAAGCCCGACGACCTTTCTGCAATTGCTTGATTGATATATGTCGAAACCAAAATCTTTCCAAGAGAGCTCACGAGCTGCTCTACTTGGGAAGTTTATATGGACTGTACCCAGGCCTACACAACAAAACCGAAGGTGAATGGTGCCTAGATGTTCGATCTCTATCGGTAGGCGCAGCTCAGACTGCACTCGAAGAATGGATGATAACTCTATCAAAAATCGTACAACGAGAAGAAGCATTACCTGAATTGTTATCAGCTCAAACCGGTGCAGGAACTCACAGGTTTTCTCAAGGACTTGCCAATTCATTCGCTTCTCATGTCGAGAAGCTAGCTGCTCCGTTTCGATTGCGAGAAGATCGGGCTGGTTGGTTTGTAGCCACGAGGGAGGATGTCGTTGCTTGGGTACATTCAAGAGTACCATCTGTGGCTACCAGAGCTTAACCAGCAGCCATCTTTCATCACTACAATGTATGAGTTAATGCAAAAAGTATATATAATAGAGTTCTTCTGATCGAATTTTGCTGCTAAAAACACACAATTTCAGAGAGAAACAGAGGCCTTCAATAGAGAAAAACTTGTAGAATAAAATTTTCCTCTATAATCCGCAGTGGTGGAATCCACCATACACAAGGGACTGCTCAGTTTTCCAGCAAGTAAAATTATACCCCCCCACCAATTTACAAGCACGTTTGTTTCTTTCTTTTTTTGTTCTTTTTGGCTCTAAAATGAGAAAAAGGCACAAACGAATGGCAAGTGCCTGTACCCTAAGCAAAAATGTGTTCTCTTCCTTATTAGAGGCGTCTAAATGAGGAAGGAAATAACAGATAACAAATAGAAAATGAAAGAGAAGTTAAGATTTTTCCTTTTGTAAAAGGCATCATATACCGAAAATCCCATTTGACAATTGCTTGTTGTTCATCCTCCAACGAAGGCACACGTTCAGGAACGTTCATCCAACGGTACCCTGTTGTCGATATTGTCTGTGTGCACTCAATTTCTTCAGTCAAGCATGGTACTTGAGATGTTAAATAACATAAGGCAATCAGTGCAATTTCATACCACTTACAGAGTGCCATCTGGGTCGAATGCGCGAATGTCGTTTCACTTCACCTGTGATTTACAGAAGTTTTTCAAAGATATTTTCCTGAGGATTTCCAGATTCTTCCTTCAAGTGAAATGACCATAACAGTAACATCATCATGATACTTTCTCCGATCCCCTTGTGGGATGTCCAACAATTCATGAAAGTCCATTCCTGTAAAGCATAAACACACCGACCCCGAATGAGAATCGACCATGGAAAAGAAACCACAGTAAAAAACTCCCAAACACAGAGGAAACGAAAACTAGCTGCAAAGGTGTTATTTAATTCAGAATTAAACTCAGCTTCAGAGACATAATTTAAGCCCACAACAATAGAAAATTGTGAATTCATCATATGTTGAAAGTAGTAAGAACAAATCTTCTCATAATCATAACTGGTTCGATTAGTATCGATCGGTTTTCTAGAATGTGTATTGTAAATTATGAAGTTTCATATTAGAATAGTTGATGGGCAGCGAAGGTACTCCGAGGGAAGACCAATTATATGTTATGCTTTGACTCGAGTTATTAACGGAAACAAGAGCGAAAATTTGGCGTAGCATAAGATCTAGCAACTACCTGCTTTTCTGGCTGCACGGCAAAGAAGCTCCTCTATCAAGTGCTGTGCAGGGTCTCCATCTGGAAACTTCTCCATGAAGTTCTCAACATAGGAAACTACTTCTTCATTGGTTAGATATTGATATAGCCCATCAGATGAAAGCACGATGAATTGATCAGTGGGGCAGAGTTTATGGTGACGAAGAGAAGGTAAGCATGATAAATATGGCGCCGTACCAATATACTCGTTCCGAAACATTTCCAGTAAGACATCATTTAATTTTGGCTGTAGAAAAATGGACAGCAGCACCACTTTGTAAGCTAAAAACAATCGGATAAGGAGTTTAAAAATAATAGAGCAAAATCAGGAAAGGTAAAAAACCATGTTATTATAGTCAAGTTGGTCGAACCAATCCCATCATGGATTGCCACTCAAAATGTAACGACCCAAGCCCACCGCTAGCAGATATTGTCCTCTTTGGGCTTTCCCTTTCAGGCTTTAAAACGCATTTGCTAGGAGAAGGTTTCCACACCCTTATAAATGGTGTTTTGTTCTCCTCCCTAACAACCAATGTGAGACATTATAATTCACCCCTTTCAGGACCCAGCGTCCTCGCTCGCACTCTTTCCTTCCTCCAATCAATGTGGGACCACCACCAAATCCACCCCCTTTGGGGCCCAACGTCCTTACTAGCACACTGCCCCGTGTCTACCCTCCTTCGAGGAACAACGAGTCTGGTGTCTGGCTCTGATACTATTTGTAACGACCCAGGCCCACCGCCGGTAGATATTGTCCTCTTTGGGTTTTCTCTTTTAGGCTTTAAAATGCGTCTGCTAGGAGAAGGTTTCCACACCCTTATAAATGGTATTTTGTTCTCCTCCTCAACCAACGTGGGACATTACACAAAAGGTCTCCAAACCTAAAAGAAGGCCTCAAACCCAAAAGAATAATGCCTATCTAATAATTACAAAAGGTCTTAATGGATATCGTCCATGAGGAGTTATAAAACCTAATGTTTTCTCAAAGAACGTCCCATCCCACTAAAAATCCTATTATTTCTTTCTATTCATATACACCATAAAACAGCAACCAAAAAAAGAAAGCTTGCTTGCCAAAGAACTCTCTATTTACCCCTAAAAGGATGAAAACGCTAGAAGAAGTAACAGCCTAAGCCCACCGCTAGTAGATATTGTCCTCTTTGAGCTTTTCCTAGCGAGCTTTTCCTCAAAGTTTTTAAAACGCGTATGCTAAGGAGAAGTTTCCACAATGAGGACACTGAACCCCGAATGGGAGTGAATTGTGAGATCTCACATCAGTTGGGAGAAGAACGAAGCATTCTTTATAAGGATGTGGAAACCTCTCCTTAGCTGACGTGTTTTAAAAACCTTGAGAGGAAGCCCGAAAGGGAAAGCTCAAAGAGGACAATATCGGTTATCGTGGTGGGCTTGGGTTGTTACAATCATGGACCATAATCTCTATTAGGCACAAAAGAAAACCCAAAGGAATCCAGAGGAGAAATGCATCAATGTAAACAATATTATTGATGGTACAAGAAACAGAAAAAGTAACTCTCAGTATGTCATGTGCTCTTGAAGCTTTATACATATAATATGCAGAAGAAATAAATAACATTCAGAAGATTGATGACTGATTCAATTAGAAGTGTAATTAAATCAAGCAGCCAAGGAGGTTTTAGAAAACCAAAATGAGGAAGTGAAGCAAGTACAAACCTGTTTCAAAAATCCTGCACCAAACGCCCTTGTAACCTTTAGACGACCCTTCACTCTATCGTTGACAATGCACCGTTTGTCATCAGGGTGCTCATTCTTTATTCTTCTTACTTCCTGTACATGGCAGGATCAAAGTTGTTATTGTTGGATGATGAAAGTCCTATGTTGGCTAATTTAGGGAATGATCATGGGTTTATAATCAATGAATACTCTCTCCATTGGCATGAGGCCTTTTGGAGAAGCCTAAAGCAAAGCCATGAGAGCTTATGCTCAAAGTGGATAATATCATACCATTGTGGAGAGTCGTGTTCAACTAACAGTTATGCAAAGGAAAAAACCAATCAACTTGACATGCAAATGCTTAACCATCAAGTACCATGCCTGCAAGGCACTGTATTCTTTTTGTGTGTAGTTTTTTCACTACAAAACCCAAATTAAGACAATTCAGACAGCAAAATCCATAAGAATAAATGCAAACAAGCCTATGAAACCTCAGCTACAAGGACAAGGAATTTGAAAGAAGCTTTTACACAAGAAATAGGTCTTCTCTAATCATCCAGGACCATCAGGCAGTTCAGATGACCAAAAAAAGACTATCTGAGAAGGAAGTTTCATTTCCAGCCTTGTGCCATCAGCCAAAGTGATTGAGAATATAATCAAATATAAGTTCACTTGTTCAGATTAATCGAGCACAAGAAATCAAGGCATGGTTGCTTACCGTTTCAAATGGCTGACAGACAATAGATTAGAATCTAGACATTCTTTTTCAAATTCAAATGGTTAATTGTTCGACTTTTACCGATTCGATCTCTGGTGCATCATCCACTGGCATGAGAGGGGAGGGGGAAATTAAACCAATGCCTTGGGAACTTGGAAATTATTAGGATCTAATACCATTTCCTAACATGCGATATATCTTCATAGAATGTATGTGCATGAGTAGAAGGAAAGAAACTAAGAGGTATAAGGGCATCAAATACATTAACAAAGAACAAAGAACCAATCTTACTTCTTCAATGCTCGTGCTATGATCGGTGGATAGCTGCAATGCAGTCAATCTCGTGGTCTGAGCCGAAGGTTGATTCGTTCGAGTTATTTTCCCTTCGCTCGTTGTAGACTCCTCAATTATACCCTCCATGCCCGTCCCTTTGTCGCCCTCCTCCTTCATGTCTTCACTGGGGCCAACTTTTTGTTGCTCATACTGTGCAACAATGGCACGGCTATCACCCAAATTCATTACATACACATCTTCATCCCTCATTAACACAACCAGTAAGCAAGAACCCATCAAAGCAAGCTCTGGATTGGTATCAAGCAACTTATCTGTCATATCCAAGTATGCTAATTCAGTTATCTCAAGAGCTCGTGACAGTGCCCCCAACACCAACTCATGATCAATTAAACCTTCCTTTCTCCTCTTACCACTTCGATAAGATGTCTCTTCCACCCTATTCTCAGCCTCAGCCTTCTCCTTATCTCCCAAACCATACTTCCATGGGAACAAAGTCTTAACATTACCCTCCTTATGCTTTGACAACCCTTGTTTTAACTTGGACAATAACAGCCACCTTCTACCAGCTACTGAACCTGCACTATTTACACTAAGCGCATCGTCGACTGAAAATGCAAATCTCTCCGACCCCGAAAGATCAAGTCCATCCTGTGTATCGTCCTCTGCTAAATACTCCCATAACCGCCGCCTCCGCCTGTTCTCCGATCCAACCTCGGATTGAAATGTAACCCTCTTGACCGATCCTCTATCAGTAGCCGGTGGTTCCACTTCCGCTTCATTTCCATTAGTTTCAATCCTTTGACTAGAGGCTCTGGAAGACGGGTCAGCATTAGTTTCATTCACACTGACTGTACTCTCTTCAGCAATGTTTGAAGGGTTGGAATTAGCAGCCTCCTCATTATCATCAATTTCCCAAAACAATCCCTGAAGCTCATTGAAGACAGCTCTGTAGAGATTACCCATCAAGAATTCAGGCGCATCAGGGCCATTGAATCCATCGTAAATCCCCACAAACAACCACCCTTGCTCTTCTGATACAACCACATGTACCCGATCCTCCCCAGCCTTCCCAAGCGCCCATTGAACATCACTCTCATTCCTCAACTCCGGCTCATCTCCCGCCGTCGAGCTATCCTTTC